GGGTTATTTGTCAGGGGCAAGATTTAAGTTCAGAATAGGTTTAACAATACAAAAACATTAACTCAGTCATGTAGACATCCAAGTCTCTATAACCATAATGCACCAATGCCTCCTCATGCTTGTTGACACATTTGCCCAAATTGACCTGAAGACTGAAACTTAAGACATTTCCTGTATACTTCTATTTGATCTTAGTTACTTTTGTAAGTACACAATATAGTTTTTTTTAACTCTATCTAATTATTTTCATTCTTATCTTATTCTATTTTATTTATAACAAATGTTTTTTTCACACCTAATATAGTTTAGTTATTTAGCTATATTAAATAAGACTAATATATTAAAATATATATATATATATATAATTATTATAGAGTTAACTCACTAATCACTTTTTGTAATACTTCTACTGTAATTTTTTAAAGCTGCAGTACTAAATATTTTTGTATTAATACTATATATTAGTAGATGTTACTATGTATAGGGTGAAAAGGGACAAACCCAAAGATTAAAGTCTCTTTTCACAGCAAACATTTTGACTCCTATTAGGAAAAGCATAGGCGTTACTGAAAACATGGCTCCGTTCTAGTCAGGTGTCACATTTCACTGTGACAGGACCCTGAAACTGAAGCAGCTAAATGGAATTCAGCCATCATTCATTTTATTATTTACACCTGTGCTTTTCCTACTGTGACATGTAGACAAGAAGGCCTATCGGCCTATCGACCTTTTTCACAGCATTCATTTTGACATGAAATAGGTTAAATACAGGTGCTACCAATGATACTAATGAAGGTTCTGTTCCACTCCGGTCGAACGGAGTCAGGATGCTGCTGTTGTGCATGTTGGCTCGCTGGAAAGGCTCTGCTACACTAAATGGAACAGAACCTTAATGACTACTACACTTGTGTTTACCCTACTATGATGTGTCAAAATGGCTGCTGTTAAAAAGGTCTATTATCACCTAAGTCTGCTGTCCCCTCAGCACTACACAGCAATTTAGTGTCTTTTAGCTCATTGTTTTGGTGTGGCAGCCCACAACTCAACTGTTCTGGTTCAGTCTCACGGCTTATATCAACCTCGTTTCCAGAAGCAGCAAAAAGCACCAAAATGGCAAAGTTAGCAGCTAGCTAATTAACATATTAGTGCATTAGGCAGCTAATGCTAAACAGCTAGGTATTTCCTTCACTAATTAAAAATACTGTTAATATATAAAGTAATATAATTTATAAGGATAAGGATTTATAATTTAAATAAGCCATTTCAAAGTTTTCAAAAATAAAGATGAACTAAGATCTTGCTTTTCACTTTTTCTCTGATATAAAATAAACTACAAATTCTATAATGCTCTGAAGCAAACATGCCATTACAAGTTCATTATATTCCATAGCTTACACACTGTACTGTTAATCAGCTCCACATCCTGCTCTGTCCTAGTGTATCACAGAGGATTCCTGGGGAAAAAGTGACAAACAAAAGGCCCAAAACCAAAGATCACTCCAACAAGAATTCTCATTTTATTGACTAAATCTCAGCTTACAGGAAGACAGTTGTATTGCAAAGACAGAACCGGATACGAGTTCTAGTGCTGTGATCATCTACTCACTAAAACTCCACCAAAATAATGATGCTTTGAAATATGTCACAGTAAAGACACTGGAACTCCATTACAACACATTACGTTATGGATGAGGTGAGGAGGCAGCAGCGACCAATTCAGGCGTTGTGAGGAAGAAAAGGGAAAGGTGACGTATCCCTTAATGACTCATCCTTCCTTCCAGGTCGGGTGTCCTCAGCTGCAGCGGATACTGGACCTGATTGTATCAGGAGCAACTCATGTTTCATCCTAACACACCACTATACCAAAATATCCATTCTAACATTCTGGTGTCCTCCACTGGGATTAAATTATACTGAGATTATACTGAAAGTCAACTTGTTTCTTTAGTTTCAAGTATCAATTTCTTGGTGTTGGTCTCACCACCATCTGAAACTAATGTATCAGCATTTCAACAAGTGGAATTATCTCACGCAGTGGTGGAGCCAAACAGTGTGCATACGAGTGGTTGACTATTCACTGTCACAGAAATCTGCCTTTTTCAGTTTTTTTCTGCGTGGCACGGTGCCATGTTCTTTTTAATCCATTCACTGCTAAATGAACCAGATGCTTAGAGTACACCATCAGAGATCATATTTAATAGGCTGTTAACAATTAAGTGGAAGTTAGAGGATGTTTGCTTATGACCACAATTTGGCCATTTTGCTTAAAATGAGCCCGAATAATGATGAATCTCCTCGTTCGGAGAAGTATAAAACGTACTAATGTCAGAACACACTTTACTACACCACATTGATGCAGTGTAGGTGCAAACAGCTGTCTGCACTTGAACTGAGAGACAATACTGCAAAGTTAAAGGTACCTGTGGAGTTTTTGACCACTAGTAGTGCTATAAGCAGTGTTTTACGAATGGGTTTGGGACACATACACACACACGAGTAGTAGTGGAAGTAGTGGAACTCGGTTTTTAAGCTATTTTGCTGACAGTTGGTGGCAGTAAGTAGGTAGCAGTGCATCAACACAACATTGTTTGCATTAAAACTCAACGGGGCACCTTCAATATCCTGTTGCCAGGGCTACTTGCAGCTGGCTACCAAAGGTTTTTGGTAGGCTGGCTTGACCAGAAAAGTGATGCTGTCTGGACTTATGGGGTGTCTAGAATTTAGTTTCTATTGTGGCCACTAGGGCTGTCCCTTTCTATTTGAAATTGCAGTCCTTGTACTCCAAAATACGAGGAGGATACATGTGGAGGGAAGTAGCGAGCTGTGATCAACTGATAATCATGATTGGACACAACAGTTGGGAAACTTGTAGACAAAGGTAAAGCTGTTAATTGTCTTCTCAAAATGCCTGCGTTAGCATTAGTACAACTCACTAAAGCAGGGGGGCACGGCAAATAAACAATGTTAATTCTGCAGCGTATTTTATTATTATTATTATTGTTTTTATTATGGGTAGCGTTCCATATAGTCTGAACTAATTACATGCTAGTTCTCATTCATTTATTTTCGTACTGGGCACCCCTTGGCTCCACCACTGCCAGATGTACAACATTTGTCACTTGACTTTAGACTGAATACTTTTTAAGAGGGAGGTTTGATACCCCGAGAAAATCAGGGAAAGGCTAAGGAGGAGAAGAAGAGTGGTTTCAGGGAGAATACTGCAGAGAAAGAATGACACGATGAGGTAATGTACAGGCCCATGTAATCTCCTCTTCATACGGTCATGTGAAAGGCCTCACCAGCTGAATCTGATGTGCCGGAGCTTACACAGTAAACGCTGCAGAGCCAGCGCTGCTCGCAGCTGGCTCACGGAGAGCAAGCGGCTACAGAAAACAGCACAGCTACAGTGTCTGTATCAGGACCGTCCTTTGTTCTGAGTCAGAAGGCTGCCGATGAGGTCAGAGATTGTCACAAGATGTAGTAATTTGCATACTGGCTCACTGATCCGGGAGCAGCTTTGATGAACATGATCCAAACGGTTTATGTAAGGGCTGAACTGAGGTTAGCTGTTCCTCAGTCAGGCATATCCAAGCTGAGGCTAGTGACTCTCACAAGATAAAGAAACATGTTGTTTGCAGCTATACTACATCTACAGAGTACTACAGCTTGTGACAGGAGGAACACGGAGCGGGTTTTCACAACAGAGCTTTAGCACATACAAGTTCATGCAGATTTATGTCTGGAAAGCAACACACGAAACGCCCATTCCTGTGTATGATCCAATGCTTTTTTTTTCTTCAAATTATTTAGATAATATTCAGGATGAGTCAAAGAAAGAAATTACTTTTTTTGCTGTTAATTTTAACTTGGTAAAAAAAACATCAACGCCACACTACTTTACTAAAAGTGGCAATTTAGAAGCAAAAATCTCTTCTAAAATTACATAATGTAATTCCCTACCTGTGGTTTAAATTCAAGCCTCTCACTCTATGTCCTCATGCTTTGCTTTTTTTCTGCTCCTGAAGGTGGTAAAAAGTACACGACATTAATAGCAATACAAATACAACACACTGAGTAGAAACTAATTATTGTTCAGATTTTTTTAGCCCTAGGATGTCTCAGGAGATCATGACGGCAATATTCACTCTGGGACATAATGCAAGAAATTGTGCTACGGCAAAAATTCCACATCACAACATTTTACGTTTCTTTTTGTCCTTTTTCCCCCCCGAGGTTTTTTTTTTGTAAAGCCAGTTCAAATTTTTCGTAAAAGGTAAGTTTGAGTTTGTCATGCAATTTATAAAAGGTGACTGTAACATCTTCTGTGATTTTTTTTCCTTCAGATTGAATTGAAAATGCTATGTGATCCTTTTTCTTTTTCCTTTCCAGTTAATACATTTTGCTAAAAGTTTCGAAGAAAACATACGCAATACAAACAGAATGTTTCGGAAAAAGGTTTCAAAGAAAACAGAAGCTATACAAACTGAATTTCGAGAGTGAGTAGAAAATAGTCTTTCAGTAGTGAAGTAGATATGTTTGACATGAAGAACAGAGACATCATAAGCCTTCTCTCAGTCAAGTCTGACGTCATGGACGGTAAAATATTCCGTCTGAAAACCACCTCATACTTAAAATACAACTATTCATACTAATATGTACAGCAGCCAACCAAATATGTTGCACAGAGAAGTAGATTTGGCACAGCTTTGCCAGAACATCAAATTACAACAAATTGAAGTGGAACGGAAATAAGAGAAAGCTGCTTTACAAAAAAACAATAGAAAAAATAGTGTGTAGTCTTTTTTAGATTCAAATAAATACAATTCTCAAAGCAAAATAAATCCACTTCTTTTGGATTCATACACACACAGTGATACACACGACAAACACACTCGCACTTTCACATTTTTGTTACACATGAAACATTTAAAACCACCGCTCGCTCGTCTTTATCTTACAAGGTATTACCTTGGACTGTTTTAGTCTTCTTCAAAAATACAAATCCTTTGTCCCTTGGCGTCATTCAAAAATGACACTCGGTCACGTCCTGAAGAGATCACACAGCACTCTTTTGTGTCTCCATTTGCTCTTTTTTTGCTGGAAGTATTGCTTTGAGAAATACATTTTGGTCATCTTGTCAGATGGTTTCAGTGACAGAATCTCTAATGGAAGCAATCTTTCACTTCTCCTCTGGGTTTCACAAAACTGGATTTGCACGCGTCATTGAAATCAAAGCGTAAATGGGGCTTTTCTTGGACTCTTGACTCCACTTTGACCAAAAACCCTACTTCATGAGGAATGTATGCATTCTACAAATACCTTCTCTTCTGCGTGTGTGCTCTTCCTTTCCCAAGATGTTTAAGACAGGATACGTGTTAGTACTCATTGTCTGTTTCTTTTTCCAAGCATGCACGTCTACGTGGTTGGATGAGAGGTATAAAAGTGTGTACTGGTGAGTCTGTGACAACATTAACATTCTGACGCATTCAGACGCAGATTTCAATGGGCGTAGCCACTAGCATGCGGCCGCCGGGCGAACTGTTTTCTCGCGGCATCCGATCGTAACTGTTGGTGGACGACACAGAGCTGTTGGTGGAGACGGACACGAAATGGTGGCCGCCGCCTGGTTCCATCATCCCGCCCTTAGCCCCGCCGCCGTTACCCCTGTCCACCACCACCGGAGACATGGGAGAGAGAGGTGACAGCGGGGAGAGAGGAGATAAAGTCTGCTGCTTCATCCTCTCCACAAGGAGCTCTTCGTCTTCTTCTCCGGACGAGGATGATGAGATAGTGCCGTTCACCTCTCCCCGCACCCCTCCTCCACCTCCCCCTCCTGCTCCTCCTCCGCCGCCACCAACCCTCTCCCCACCACTTCCGGCATTGCTGTTGCCATTGTTGTTGTTGTTCTCCGCATCCAGCATCCAGGAGTGGCTGAAGTACCCGAAGACCTCTTTGACGGAGCAGCGGCGGTCCTGTTCCACAGAGAGCAGCCGGCGGAACATGCGGAGGGCCTGTTCGGTGAAGCGCCTCCACTGGGACGGCACCGTGTTCGTCCTCCTCCTCTGCCAGCGGATGAACTCCTGGTAGAAGGAGTCGGAAGGCAGCGCCTTCTCCCAGGGGAAGTTGCCGGTCAGCATGCAGAAGAGCAGCACGCCGAAGGCCCAGACGTCAGTGCTGTAGTCCACGCAGAAACCCTCATGGCGGGACACGTCACAGAGCTCCGGGGCCGTGTAGGGGATGGTGCCACTCACCTGGAAGGGAAACTCAACAGGTCAACACCATGGTCGAAAAGAGAATTGGAGGTCATAGACAGAAATGGTACTCACTCTTTTCACTGGTGAGCCAGCTCTGCGGGTCATGCCGAAGTCAGACAGCTTGACCTTGCGGCACTCTCGGTCAAAAATTAGGATGTTTTCAGGCTTGATGTCCCTGTGGACCAGCTTCTTACAGTGCAGGTAGTCTAGAGCGATGGCTACTTGGTGCACACAACGCTTTGCCACTGCCTCAGGAAGACCGACCTGAAGGATCGAACAGAGGGAAATCAAACACAATAAATATGGTATATCCACCAGTCCCCCCAAAGACAGTTAATGCAAATTGAACCAATCTGCAATTTTGTCCAATCACTGTGAGTTTCCAACAATTTTGTCCAATCATAGTAGTTTCCTGTACAAAATGGTGAGCCATACGTCACCAAACTCACTCCCTTGTTTCTAGTTGTGATGATGCAGACTGTGCAACACAAACGTCTCACACTTACCCTCCAAAACAGTGCGATTTGATTTGTTGTTGCCTTTAATTGCAAAAACTGCCTAAAACAATTGCAACATGAATAGCAATTTATTGGAAAATCTGCTGTTAAATCAGGCATTATAGACTGCAGTGATCCCCAAAAAATAAATGTGTAGGAGGCAAGTCTGCAAATGTTTAGAATCTTTATGTCACTCCTGGAGCACCAACCCAATGTCAGCTGGTTCCAAAGAATTTTTCAAACTGATCAATTGAACTGTATTTTAGAACTTGTCGAGATGGATGTTTTTGCGAAAGCCCTTGACCCAAAAGCATCGATGCAAAAAAGCAACAACCAGAATAACAGGCGGGATGGAGCACCTGTGGAGGAATGATATCAAAGAGGTCTCCTGCCAGAGCGTACTCCTGCGCGAACACGTAGTACTCGTCTGTCTCGAAGGCGATGCCGAACATGTTGATGATGAAAGGGCAGGGAGACAGGTAGAGGGAGATGCTGTACTCCCGCAGGAACGACTTCAGCTTGGTTGTCTTTTTCTTCAGGAACTTCAGTGCCATTTTTGTACCTTTAGGGACAGAATGGGGGAAAAATTGGTTTTCTTTTGTTTATTTAGAGCAGCAGGTTAGTGCTGTTTGTTACTATGTTTGTGCGTATGTGTCCCCTTACCTCTGATCTTGTGAATGACCAGGTCCACCTTGCCGTAGGTACCCTTGCCCAACTCCCTGATCACCTCGTAATACTTGTTGACCTCCAGCCTCTCCAGGTTCTGGGCTGCGATCAGCTGCAGCTCGTCCAGGATGTCCATGTTGGCTCGAGACACGAGCGGAGAGGAACTCATGCTGGGGACTGCTTCAGGGGACGGACCAGTGGGGTAAAAAACTGGGGAACGGACGCTCAGGCAGGACAAGAGCAGCTAACACCTGGTGTCACTGTAGAGAAACAAGAGAGGACACACATTTTTAAATTTGTGTATGATAATATTTTTTATTCTTCTCCTTATTTTTATTATTCTAATAACAAAGTATGGAATTTCACCTGTAGGGGGTGCTATAGTAAAAATATACCACTTCTGTTGTCGAGGTTTTCTTAAAATTTTGCACAATTCATCATGGTACAACACCAAATGCATTGATCATAACCGGTTTTCAGCACAGATTAGAGAAGGTATTTTCTGACAATGTTACAATTTGGTGCAATCTACCACCAGAGAATGCACATTCTAGTTTATTATTGTTGTGAATGACAGTACATTATATTATTCAACAGATTTATATAACTTAATGTCATTCATATGCAATAGTAAATACCATAAAAATTATAAATAATCATTATTATTAGCAGTTGCTGCATTATTCATTCATTCACAAGTTACAACTGCAAAATATATAAAATATGTGAAATGCTAATAAACGACATAAAAGACAGTCACATCACATGTGAAATAAGTTGTATGTACTAGATTAACACTGAGGTATATGTGGTTATGTAATTAATTAATAATTAATATGATAATGAAAACATGATGAATAATGAACAAGATATAGGATTTTAGGTGTGTTTGACAAGATGACAGCGCTGTGTTTGTGCTTGTTGGTCACATTCATCGTCGCTGTGTCCAGAGTGTGGAGGTACGGGCACATGGGAGACACATACAGGATGCACACCTTACACATGTACCGTCATGGGATGTAGATACGGAGAGTGTGTTTGTGGTGTTTGAAGGTCAGCGACGGACAACAAGCCGTCGACCTTGCGGCTCACAGTCTGCTCTGATCTGCAGTGTGATAGTCACTGAAAATGCTAATTATCTGCAGTGAAGGCTTAAGTAATTCTAAATGCTGCTCGCCAAGGGGGATGCCAGAGCTGAGCTGTGAGCTGAGTCACACAAACACACACACACACACACACAGCCAATAACAGTCCTTTCGAGCAAATCCATTCCCTGCTGCAGTGTGATTATTCTTAGTGATTGCTTTCTTTTTTTCTTCCTGAGCAGCGAGACCTGCCAAGTCCTGACCCTCTATAGATCCAGGCACATGCGAAACTTGCACACACACACACACACAGACTCATTACATAACCTGAAGTGCTGGGAAGAAGCCTCTCTGCATCTCTGAGGAAACACTTGTGAATTTGCCTTCCTGTCGTCGCACGCAGGGAAAGCAGCAACACTTAGACTGCCATATTTATCCTCAACACACATCCCCATCGGTCTATACACTAATGACATTTATCTGATTCATCCTTTAAAGGGTTAAATCTCTAAGTCTCGGGATGCAGAAAATAATATTCTGATGTGGACCGAGCAGCTGCAAGCAGTCATAACCTGCTTCATCACATGTTAAGTCACTAGCTATGAGACACAGCACACACGCACACACACCAGTACATTATTTGAAGTACCTTGGCATCCCCTCCACAGGCCCCTGTGTTTCTCTGTGGGGGTGCAATCTTTTTTGTGTGAAGCGGACAGGAAGAGCAGTTGACACCAGCAGCAGGTGAGGAGGGATGAGTCAGTTTGGGTGATGGATGGCAGCGAAGAGAGGACGTACTGCAGCTCACTCTCTGCCTTAAATAAAGGCTCCGGGACACATGCGATAAACACACACGCACACACACAGAGGAGGCGGGGGCAGCAGGGGGTTGTAAACAGAGAAGGCGATTTGTTTCTGCCTGGGGTCAGCAGTGTTTACTGTAGTACTGCAGGATACTTGCAGCACTGTGTGTGTGTGTGTTTGTTGGTTTTTAACTGGAATACAGTTAAAACAATAATCCTGAATATCTTGTTTGACTTCATGCATCACTTAAAGGTGCGGCATTTTTAAACATCAGCTTGTTGTCAAGGGAACAGTGATGCCTCAGTTCAGTCAGTCCGTAGCCTCTGTCTCACTCTGCACTCTCCCTGCTGCTGTTATTTGTCTTTTGGACCAAAGAACATGGGCCAACAATCTGCATTTTTACTCTTTCTGAGGAAATATCTGCTTTAGGAACTGTAATGTCACATTAATTTGCTTTTATGTGCTGTATTTTACAAGATTGTATTATTTATCAGCTTGTGCAACATTGGAACTCATGTTTGCATGTTTCTTTATTAATATTTAGTGCTCATATACTTTTTACACCTTTATTTATTGATTTGTTTTAAAGCTTCCAGGGCAGTCATGTCACAAGAATTTCACTGCCTAATTGAACCCGATGTTACTCTGCACAGACAACAAATAACATGTGTGTTCACCTCCACATGTTCAGGTGCACACACAACGCCATACTGCATGTGTGGATTGTCATGGTAAAAGCCGCTGCACCATAGCTCACGTACACCACCTAAAAATGAGTATGAGAGAGACCACATGGAGACTATAAGAACTGTGACTGATCAGCCTGAACTGCTGCATCTTTCTAGTGCTGGTGGGGATTATTAAAGCTGCAGTAGGTAACTTTTATAAAAATAACTTTTTGTCATATTTGCTAAAACTTTCACTATATTCTGACAGTAGGAACATGAGACATAATCTTGAAGAAATCGGTTTCCTCTGGCTCCTCCTAGTGCTCCTAATGGTATTGGCAAGAATCCACCGGGCCTGAATGATAACAACCAATCAGAGTCTAGAACGATAGTTGATTGTTGAGCCTCCTTCCCAGGTTGTAAAACATTAATGCTCTGGTGGCCTAAAGTCTTGGTATTTGTTGACCCGTAATAAAGTATAAGATGATTACTTTGGCTATGCTTAAACATCAATAGTGTATTATTTAGTAGCTACAAGCTAGACAAACCAAAAATGGGCGGCCTACATTTACCAGCAAACCCACAAGCTTATTATCAGGCAGCAGAGTAAGACATATGAAAGAGTGGATGCAAGACAGCTCACACACTAGAGATGGCGAGATATGGAATTAAATTGTGGAGATGTACCACTCTGGTTCTGTTCTGTATTTAATACACTGATAATCTAAACTGTAGATGTGTAGTTCCACTCAGGGTTTGGAGGGTCTTTTTTTAAAAATAAGTGGGAACTGATCCAAGCTCTAACAAAAGCTGATGAAACCATTAGAATGTGGGCTTCCAGAGCTTTATGTAAATGTGTACAACTGTTTGGGGATAAACCCAGTTCTCATCTATTCTGTCTTTTGTTTTTAATAAATGTACCCAGGATTCCTGGAGAGCAGTGTTGATACTGAGTGAATTAAAGTAAACTAAATTGAATTCCACCTTAAGTCTAAAGATCTTAACTATGTTAAGCTGATAATCAGTGTAAGCATAACCAGATTAACACACCTACACTCTGCTCAGCCATTTCATTTACAGACCAACAGCCTGATTTTATTTGGTGTTATAAATGTACACACGTGCCAGAGAGATGCAGCCTTCTGTATTCAGCTGCAGTAACACCACAAGAAACAGGACATTCTGTTTCATTGGTGTGAAAAACAACGCTAGAATAACATTTGGACCAGATGCAAAAAAAAAGACAGTAACATATTTAATGATTAATCCAATCATATTCAAGTTTAAAAATTCTGACCTGTACAGCATTTTTGTCGGTTACAGTAATCAGTGGTTGTTTCTAAATATGATGTTACACATTGCACCCACAGTTCTGATAAGCAGACTTAGTGGTTTAACAAAATGATTTTACAGCATTGGTATATGAACACTGTCAGTAGTTTATACTCTGCAGGGTTTGTCTATTGCTCTTTGTAAACACACCACTCAAAGTTACCTCAGGCGAGCGAGAGAGAGCACCTTTGGTCGAGTTACCTAGAGAATGAATAAGGAATATTTTCGGATTGTTCCACAGCAGTTATGTATGAAAGCACAAGAAACACAGCCACTCCTCTGCACAACCCTGCGGGAGGTGCCATATTTCTGGACCCACAGCTCCTTATGCACCCATGACACAGACAGGGAGCAGAGAACAGTCAGACAGAGAGTGTGTGCGTGTGTTTGTGTGTGTGTGTCTAGAACAGACACTCCCAGCAGACGTCACACACCCTCTCTCCTTATCTTTATGTTCTCAGCTCTGTGCTGGCAGCTCAGAGGAACATACGCGTGTGTGTGTGTATGTTTGTGTGTTTTTACCACAAAGGGAGCTGCATCTGTATTTATATAGAAACAGCATTAGACTCATAGCTGAATGAGTCATCAGGTCAGGACAAATGTCGGCTCTCCATGTAGAGAGAGGATGTCTGCTGTCCCATTCTGTGTGTGCTGCGTCACATAGGCTGAGCGTTAACAATAGATGTAACTCAATGCACAACTAGCTGCATTTCACATCTTTGGCAGAAACAACTGCAGAGACAATGATTGGACAGCACCTTTGCAGGGCTAAATTCTGATTAGTTAAATCAGGCTGTACACAGTGTCCTGAAACAATGCATTTACCCTGCAGCTCATCCACCTTAAAGGTACAACATGTGTCTGTTTTTAAACATCAAGTAATTTGAGATCTCCCTGTGTAGCATCTAAGCTGGAGATGACAGCTATCTCACACAACTCTTACTGTTTGTGTTGTTGTATTGTTACTTTATGCTGCACCACTCATTCAAATACAAAAAAACAAAAAAATCAACTCTGAATTATTGGGCTGTGTATTATTATATTATGATTGTGGCAAGAATCTGGCGATGTGATATATATTGCGATACAGGCGTTACGACTCGGTATATTGTGATACTGTGAGCACTGTCACAGTATAAAGAACACACCACCGTTGGCTTAAAATCTGAGTTTAAAAAAGTTTGCAATCAAACAGTAGGATCTGCATTGGTATTTATTTGTCCCCGTAACATCCGACATCATAGGAAAACTTCTGAGTGATGTAGTTGAAGAGTCAAATGGCTATCTACTGCTGTCTAGTGGTCACACAACACAACAAGAAAAACAGCGCCCTCTACCTGTTTGGTGCCTTAAAGCTACACTCATTAATATTTTCATATTAACAACTAGTCAAATGACTGTGTGTATTATGAAAGGTACAAACCCACAGAATTATCAGTGGACTCTGTAGTATGCAGATCTAAAACGTTTTTTAGTGTCTTTTAGCTTGCTGTTTTGGTTTTCCGGCCCACAAATTCAACTCTCATTAATCACGTTTCAGCTGTTTTCATCCAAAAAGACCTGATTATCCCTCTGTACGCTACATGACCAGCAGTAAACAGCAGACAGACAAACTTAGCACCTAGCTTAAGTTAAATAGCTAGCAGCTAAAGAGCCAGACATTTCCCTCAGGGGTTGGTGGAGACCAAAAACAGAGCTAATACAAGAGTGAAAATTGGACTTACATTTATCAGGTGGCCATAAACACAACTCTAAATGAATGCTCATTTTGCTGTATTGTGTAATAGCCAATTTTTTGGGGCTGTCATGATATCAGATTTTCCCTACGCAATTATTGTGTCGCAAATAATTCACGATATCACAATATCTATAGAAAATTTTTAAAATAATAATGATAATCCTATATGTATAATAATGTATATGTATAATTGTACAAAAGCAGCCAAAAAGAACAATTATTTACACAATATTATCATATGCGTATTATTAACACAATATCAACACAGCTATTGATATTGCGACACCCCTACATATTCGCCATTGTACTTTCAGCTCAGTTTGGAGTATTTTGCCAAAAAATTTAATCATGCAGCTTTAAAGAAACGTAACAGATTACCCCCCATATCAAAATGTACAGAGCAGTGAGGAGGTTGCTTTTTAGTGACAGCCTCATTTCTAATAATTAGTGCTCAAGCGACAAGTCAATTATTTGTTCGACAGAAAATTAATCAACAACAATTTTGAAACCAAAATGCACATGATGGCTCTTAAAGGTGAGGATTTACTGCTTTAGTCTGTTTTATATGATTGTAAATAGAATAGTTTTGGTTTTCAAACACAAGCAATTTGAAGGCGCTAACTAAATCATGATTGGCACTAGTTGGACATTTTATAGACGAAACAAATAACTGATTAATCCGAAAATAAATCCATACATGAATTCATGCTGAAAACCACTGTTAGTAATTATGCTGTCTTAAAATGTTTGTAGCAATGATTACCTTGAGACTTCAAAACAACCATTTCATGACAATCCTACTTCTTTCCTCCTCAGGACTGCACCTGAACTCTCCCACAGCCTTTCAAATGCAACACGTTGGAAACACAAAATACAACATGTTCCTTTCAAATGACCACAAATCCAGCTCTCCTCCTCCTCCTCCTCCTCCTCGTCCTCCTCCTCACTGACACTCTGTGCCACCAGGTTCAACACTCTGTGGAAAACAGAGTGGCGACCAGGGGCCGCAGCTGACTAAATCCCAGACTGCTTATGCAACCAGCAGGCAGAAGCTGACCGGCCGAGCACATTCAGCGAGCCAAGGCGATGATCACAGCCGCGTTCACCCCTGCTGATGCAGCCACACTGCCCTCCAACAATTAGAGCAACGCCATCTTCATCCTTTTTCCATTCCAGCGACCTTTCAGTTTACCTGACGCACCAGCCGCAAACACACAACCCTGTTTCCCTTTGTGGGGCGCGTCAGCAACACAAATATTAAACAATTACACTTTATGGCCACAGGATTTTGTCTTGTTTACAAAAAGCTGGCACAGTCAAAAGTGTCTGACAGCTGCACACACACACAGTCAAAGTGTGTGTATGTATAGCCAGGCATTGACAGGGAGTGGTGTACGGGAGAGAAAATAATGAGAGAGGAAAGAGAGGCAGAGCAACGCACAATGACAAGGACCGTTGAGTAGCAAAGTGCCAGCAAGTGTGTGTGTGTGTGTGTGGAAAGATAAAGAGTGCGGCGGCCAATATCCCTGCACCACAAGCCAACAGCAGACATAATAGCAACTCAAATCCCCGGTGCAGCAGATTTTTGACCACATTTACGGCTTAGTCTAGAGGTCAGAAAAACAATTATTCCGACCTCCTTCTGTAACTGACCTCTGACCTTGTTGTAATTAGAAATCCTGCTGCCTAAAACCACGTTCAAACCCTTCTCATTAACAAGAAGAAAGTCGGCAAGCCCACTTTCTGGCTTTAAAGGGGCACTGCGCCGATTTTATACACAAAAACAGTTATATAATGTCTCCTGTGGCTCTGGAGGAGCTTTGTCAAGTCTGAGAAAATAACCCCATACATGTCATAATGATGTCACCAGGGGCTTGGAGAGTGGGGCTGGGTATTGGCAAGAATCTGGCGATACGATAGGCATCACGATACAGGCGTTACGATTCAACATATTCTGATATATTGTGATTTATTTCATTTCAACTGTCACAGTAAAAAGAACACACCACCGTATGTATACAATCTAGCCCTCAGTTACGTTTAAAACACTGCTATCTAACGTTGGGGGGTTAAACACAAAAATCTATAGTGTTTTTGAGAATCGATACAATATCACGAAACAAAATGTCGCAATACTCAAGAGTGAAGGTCAAGGAGGCATGGAGTCTCAAAGATTGTATCGAGCTGCAATATCTGAAAGATAGGATCAGAGCTTGGGACTGTTATGGGTCATTACAGGCAACCAAGTCGGAAAACAACAGTCACATTAGCCTCCTAGCTGTAATACAATACAGTTGTCAACAAGCCAACGGCAAAATAGTTGCAAAGCCTCCACTGTTGGCAGTTACATGAATAAATAAAACATCCAATTTTAACACTGATAAAATCAATTTAGCCAATTTAAGAAGAGCTGTGTGTATGTGGTTTCATTAGTAAATTAACCACTCCACTGCACAATCAGTCCATTTAAATATGTGACTAGCAGCGTGGTCAACAATCTTCAGTCCTCCACCTCTATGGAAGCGTGGCACTAAATCACTGCAGCCCTTTTAAGATATCACATTATTTACAGTAGAATGAAACAGTAAGCTTCTTATAAAGTGTGTGGGTGAATGGAGGGAGCTAGTGTTACAGCTTAGCTATATTTAGTTTTATATTTGTGTCTCCACGTCAACTTTATACATGTTCACCAGACAATAAACAATTGTATCCATGAAACCAGCAGCAGAAAGTCCGATAAGTCTGTATTGGTGGCCAAGATATAGTTCCAGCACAAATCTCCCTGTAGAGCCACAGATTGACATTTTCACATTTCAGTTGGTGCCCGGGTTAAATAAATAAGATCCACTGTGTTAGTTAGTGCTGTTTGTAGGTGATTTCTTTCTCTTTGGACACAACCAGGCTAGCTGTTTTCCCCTGCCCCCTGTCTTTACACTGAGCTAAGCTAAGCTAACCTATGCTTAGTTAGGCTAATTGAGAAGTATAAAGAGTTTGGTGTTATGTACTGCATAAAAGTTGGTATTTATATATGTGCATACATTCGGTGTGAGGGTTGTTACGATATGTATCACGATACAAGAGTTACAACTCGATATCACGATACTGTAAGCACGGTCTATACAGTTGCAATTTTTTTTGAGATCCAACTTAGAAAACTGTCTGCATAATAGAACAACGCACTGAATTTGCATAAATGTATATCCCCGCAACCGCTATCTACGAGTTGGGGGGTTTAAACACAAAAATCTATACAATGTAACAGAGAAATCAATACAATATCACAAAACAAAATACGGCCAACCTCAAGTATATCAATATTTTCTTTCCTATTTGCCATTCCATATCACTCAGGAGCAGTGGGTTTTAACCAGTGAGGCCGCAGACATCGTTTCTCTGTATATGAGCAACTTCAGGACGTCTCCCATTTTCCTATCAACGCTGCATTTTGATACGATGAGGACAAACCCAGCCCAAGTTACCCCCGCTGCCAGAGAGACGCCCCGTTGGCGAGGACTGAGCTCCAGAGCGCCTATGTGACCTACATTGTGATCTGTGACTCATCATGCTGGACTGTATCTTGCGTGAGTGTGATGTGTCTGCTTTTACATGTCATCAAGGAGCTTAAACTCACTTTGATCAGCTGTGTCTCGGGTTTAACACACACACACACACACAACCAGACAGCCTCCTACAGTGGCTCAGAATACATAAAGCAATGAAAGATTAGGAATTAATTACAAGTTAGTTGATGCCTACATCACTTTTGCAGAATACTAATTTCATTGGCTGTAAGTGTTCTGGATGACAACAGTGCAGCATAATGTGTTGTTGCAACAGTGAATTCTTCTAAGGAAGGCAGAAAAATAACTGGACGCCGGCCCAGCGAGCCCTGAAAGCAGCATGTGGACGCAGGCAGTCAGGATGTAAACATTCTGCTCTCTCATTATTCTCCAGACACCATCGGCTCCAGCACTCTGTGGGGCTACGTCACGTTGGATCCCACCTGCAGTGTGTCCTAAGACTGCACCGACTCTGAGGAAAAAGCCCCGTCACTTATTGTAACAGAGCCCAGAGCTGAGTGACAGGCAATCTCACACACACACACACACAGGAGCTGCTGCAGATACCTGGCTGCCCCCAGTACACAGGATGCACGGTGGGGGGTGGTGATGGTGGGGGGTGGGTGGGCTGATGGAGGGGTGCCAGAGGTTGTGGTGTGATCAATAATACAAATTCCACTTTACTGGGATTTTGTAAACACTCTAAAATGCCAACGAGCTGCATTTTGTGTGGTTTGCTGGAGATAAATGGGACAACAACACAACACACCATTAAGGACCAATCACAGCATTGTTTTCAGTGTATGCTGCTGCACAATAAAAAAGGCCTAATCGATCAGACACTGAGTACAATGAAACACAGTGCAATACATCCCAGTTATTATAGTTAGTTCAGTGAGTCAGATGCGGGTTTTACCGGGTGCAGGTGAGGGATGATGAACCCGGGTTTATTCCGCCACTCACCCTTCAATTGGTTCCCATATGGGAGCTGTAGAGTCCGCCCTGTCAGCCCAGGCTGCTGATAGACACACGGGATGATCTGAGCGCATACTAAGGCCAGGTGAGCCGGGAGAATCGCCTGCTCTCGGTGTGCCGGGAGAAGCCTCCGTGCAGCGGTGAGACGGTAGATGTGGCGCCGAGCATCCTGCAGCCTCCTTCGGGCTCTGCGTCCTATTGTCTCCGCATCGCTCTGTCCTCTAGGATGGGAGGAGAGGAGAGGAGAGGGGAGGGGAGGCAGCGGAGGAGAGAGGAGCGCCAGAGAAAGGCCCTCCCCCTGCTCTCCGCTCTGACCAATCGCAGCGCTGCTCCGCCGGGAGCCGCCGCTGCTCGCTGTCTCCGTACAGACTATGCTGCCTTCAGGTGCAGTCGGACTTATCACAACGGGTGCAAGGGTGCGCTAAACTGGTGCAGGTCTTTCTTTCCTGCCATTGTCAGCCACAACTGCGTAACGCTCAGTGACTGTGACTAGATTTGACTAAAAAGGAGAAAGTGAAAACAATGACTGAAGTTTACCAGAGAATTTAAAAGCACAACTTCACTTTAGAATGACTTTTTAAATTATAATTTTTTTCATTGTGCTCAAAACAAAATGATATTATTTATTAAGCTAAGAGCTTAAGAATGGCAACTGACACTCATTGTACCCATTTGAGCCCCATGGAAAAGTGGAATTTTGATATAGAATCCTCTTTGTGGCATTTGTTTTAAAACAATAAACAAACCTTTCAGATTTTAGGACTCTAGTAAACTTTGTCCCACTTTCATTCTCTCTGTAAATAATCGAGGTCGTTGTTATGCAGATGATACAGTTTTGTACAGTTATAGATTAGAGGTCTGCAGTGTTCTGTAATATCAATCTTATTTGATCTGATCTTAATTTTTCTTAATTTTTTTGTAGCAATTGCAAATTGCACTCAAACATTAAGATAATCACTAAAGTTTTTTATTAATTAAAAAAAGAATATTAAATCAGGAGCAGAAGACACATACAATACACAAACGCTGTTTTGTTCCGATCCAAAAATCACCTCTTAACTCTTATTTATGACATAAGAACTCTTTAGTTGGGGTTTACAAGCTGTACATGAATGCCTCGTAAGCGCAATACAGAGGGGGCATCTGTGCAGTGCAAGAAGAGTCCCACTTTTAATATAAATGTGTTGTTTGTGGGAAAAAAAAACAAATATCACCTGGTAGTCATCTCTGTTCTGTCTCATGACTGCGGCTCAATGAGTCTCTGTATCTGTGCTGTGTAGCAGCACTGCAGCAGGTTAACAGATTCTATCTTACTCCAACATGTTCTCTCTGTTAGAACATTTTATTTTGACCATCCCTATGAAATGTATGATACTACACTGCGTTTTAAATGGATAGACCTTTTTCAGCTCTTGCAGCATTATATATATGTACATCTTTACGCTAAATAACCTTGGTTGTGATCAGAAACACGCTTCAATCGGCTCATTTAGTAGCCTACATTTAGTCTCTCAGTGACACATTACCCATGACTGATTCTTTGTAGAAAACAGCCCCCTGGTTACCAAGAGGTTGCATCACAGGATGAAAATAGGGAGGTGCTGTCTCCAGAGGCTGTTTTCTGATCTCTTCAACACTCATCACATGGGTAATAATAAGTGTCCTGTTTTGCGAGGATTACAGCAAGTACACAGACTGGGGCTCTGGTAGTGAGGTTCAGGGACCACCAGAAGTCCTTCGGGGACAGTTCCACTGGGTAAAAGAAGATAATCAGGACATTTTCTGTTCTTTTCACACAATACGATGCAGGGTTGATTTCTCTGCATCGTACAGCCACACACGCTCTGTCCTTTTTAAATGTTATAAAGCAAAAACTAGAATAAGGTTGTATGGCTCCACCAGCCAGTCACGTTTCAGTTTACATCCATCTCTGTCCAGACTCATAATAATTATATAAAAAGCTATAAAGTGTGTTTTTTAGCTAAATGGAACTTATTACTATAGTGATGGTACATGTGTATAATTTAAGTGAATATACATTTTTGAACAGATTCATTATCATAGATGAATTGACTGAACAGCTACACATGTAAAGTTGGATTCTTCTACAGTACAGCTATAGAGAGTGTG